AAACTATAATAAAAATATAAAAAATATTTTAAGATAACTCATTAATAATATTTTTTATATATGAAATATTTTATTAAGAAAAAAATATATTATCAATATTTTGTAGCATGTGGACATAAAATTATTATTAAATACTTGTTTTGAAAAAAAATATTACAAAAACATTTGAAATTAAAATAAATTATTAAGCAATAAATTATTTTTTAAGGACTTTAGTATAAGATTATTAAAATAAAATGTAAATACATAATTGATTGGAGGCCATGCATTACTAAGGGTAAAATTATAATTTGCTTCCAAACGTAAAGTTGAAACTGAAAAAAATTAGAAATTCTAGCTTTTACGGTTGATTTGAAATCATTGTTTCCACCTTATTTTTTTTTCATTTTTACCTGTTTGGTATTGATTTTGCAATCGAAACAAATTTTTTACCTAAAAGTGCTTTTAGAAAGCCACACCAAACGAGGTTTATTTTGGTATGAACATAAAACATACTTTTATCCAACGTAATTCTATTAACAAAGACTTTTATCCTACGTGGTTGAGATAAAAACTATTTGATCATTAAATAATTTTCTTCTGGATGTCATTCCCTAAATTAATCATATAAAAGATATTATTTACATAAAATCTTGGATGAATGATAAATAAATGTTTTTTTATTAGGGTAAACTATGCGTTTAGTACTTAAACTATTAGCTTTGGTCTATTTTAGTACCTAAACCTTCATTTTTTAAAATCATACATAATATTTAGTTTTTATTTCATTTTAGTAAACACTATTAAAAACTTAATGGGCGAGTTGACGTGGCGTAACTCTGGTGGACTACGAGAGAATGACGAGTCGATCAACATAGTCCAATTTCAGGCCTACTGGACAGTGGACTATGGAGATAGAAGGATGAAAAAATTGAAGAGTTAATCATTGATTTTGGGACATTGAGACATTTTTTTGGTAAAACTGAGGGTGAAATCGCGTTTAGGGGGTTGAAAATGTGCGAGCTAGAAAGTTTGGGCTTCATTGGACAATGGATGCAACAACTGGTGACTGCTGACACGACGATCAACGAGCCTATTCGTTAAGTTTTTAACGAAAGGTACTAAAATGATGAAAGGAAACTAAACATATATATGATTTTGAAAAAAATGAAAGTTTAGGTACTAAAACGGATTAGAATTGATAGATTAGACACTAAAGACGTAGTTTACCCTTTTTATTATTAAACACTTTTCATTTAATTTAAGAATAAAGTTGTTATATATATTAATTAATTACGAGTCCATTCATCACCACCTAGATCTTTGGCGCAATGATAGCGCGTCTGGCTCTAGATCAGAAGATTGTGTGTTTGAATCATGTCAGGTTCAAAATTCAGATATTCAGTTTAATTTTTAGAATTTTTGAAAAATTGCTAGGATCTTATTCCACTTGTGCTTCTTAATCTCCAGTGCTTACTTAATCTCCAGCACGTTGGCTTCACTGAGTAATAAGCTTTATTATAAACGAATGAAATGGTTTTGTTGTATGATAGCCTAGAATCAGTTTCACCATTACGGATCATCCTTAGTTCTTACGCGGGTCTTAACGAGGTCAAATCTAATAATTCAAAGTGAGTAATATCGATACTCTACTTGTAGTATCGATATCATAGGGTCAAGTTTCGATACCCCTATGAGTATCAGTACCAAAAATGGCTTCTGTTTGCTAACAATTGACTTAGTACCGATACTAGGTCTCCTAAATATCGACACTGTAGGGGCAATATTGGTACTCTCCCCAACAACATCGATACTCCCAACTAAATTTGCTCAAAATTTGTTTCAGTTCATCCAATATCAATACTTGAACCCAGAAATGTCTTATTTAAGTTTAGAAAACACCCAAAAATCATTCCAAAGGTCTTAGTTTGGTTCCTAATCATGTGATAAAGCTTTAAGAAGTTACTTAGGGTCATAAAGTGTCATAAGAACATATGCTTTACATCAAATTCGTCATTTAATCTTGAAATCAAACATAATCCCTAAAATGCTCAAATACAAAAATCTTAGCAAACCTTACTTTTTATAGAAACCTTAATACCACAAAGGATTAGAAATAAACTATATTGGTTAAAGAATACCAAAATGAAGCTTCTTTCTTATCCACACTCACTTCCCTTAAGATTTGGTTGATTCCCCACCTTTTTCTTTAGCCAACAAAGATGCAAGTATTTATTAACATACAAAGGGTTGTAGGAAGTGTTTGGTATATATTAAAAGCCTACAGGAACATGTAATGATGTTCTTACACTACTAGAAAAAATCCCTTTAATGACGCTCATTGCGCGTCATCTATGGGTGCAGATGACACACATTTACGCGTCATTGAAGCCACCAACATAAATCTCAGATGACATGCAATTGTGTGTCATAAATCTATGACGCGCATTTATGACACACATTTATGACGCTCATTTATGATGCACATTGAGCGTCATTGAAACCCCTGTCATAAATAAAGATGACATACATTTGTGTGTCATAAATTAATGATACACATGTATGACTTACATTGAGTGTCATTGAAGCCCCCGTCATTAAAAAAGATGACACACATTCGTGTGTCTTGATTGTATTTCGTAAATTATATATATATATATATATTATAGATTTATAAATAATCAAACTAAATCACATTTAATGCCTCATAATACTAAATATATATATCATATTATATATAAGCAATCCATTTGCATACAATATATACACATGACACCCATGAAAAATGTTGCCACTGGAATTGTAATATTGCAAACATAAATAGTCAGTCATTACAATTCTAGAGTGATTTCGTTGGATGTAATCAAATAATGCACTTTGTTTCCACATACTTAGAGATTTGAGCATTTGGATAAAAGCCACAGATATGTACAAATAGGCAGTGTTGTCAAACCTGTATTGACAACAAAAAAATGAGGATGCTTAGAATATGGAAAAACAATATCAACAAAAGGTAAGCAAAATAAAACAAAGATGTCAAAATTTTGCACATCCAGTACATAATAAGCTTCATATCGTATAAGCAATTTGTAGCCTATAACATAAACCTTTTGGCAACTCAACAACTTAAATACATTTAAAATTTAATTTTCATTAAAAGTATAAGAAAAACAAATTAGTGTTGTCAGAACGAGTTTCAGGGAAAGACATTAAGATATGAAAACACGGAGCAAGACAAATGGAAGTAATTCAACAAATTATGATCCTGCTTAATTAATGAACTTCATTATGCAGAGAAGGCAACTTGACCACTCCGCGAAACCCCCTTAACCTTAGTTCAAGTTTAAGAAACAAAATAAAAGATAAAACAATAAATGTAGCAGGTATTGCTATTGCATCTATACTTGATTTGAGCTTAACAATAATCATCCAGGTTTATTTAGTTGAGAATTTTCACAAACTCAAGTCAACCTACCAACTTGGGTGCAGTAACTCTTTGACAACCATTAGGATAGGAAAGCATACAGATCATTGAGGAACAATATTATACTTAAAACAAAAAGAGTCTGAAACAAGCAACAAGTTCACAAGTAATACTATGCTTTTAGTCTCGGCAGGGTTTTCAAGCAATATGTATTTTTTGCTGACAGAAGTAACTCATTACACAATACAAACCACACTATAATAAGGAAAACACTACACCACACACCAAACACAAATTCCAGTCATACCACAGTTAAATACTTACCAAAGACTTGATGCAAAGAAGGCACTTATAGGTATTACACATGTTGCATATCTACAACACCGAGACATTTGTTTAGGAAAGAGAACATCGATACTGTAGCTAAGCAGTAATTGAGAATAATAACGGCTATTTTAGATAAATAATAACACTTACATTTCAAATGTCATTTGACAGGAGCTACACCTGTATGGTAAGATTGAGGGAGAGGAAAATGCATTACAAAACTAGGCAAAACAATGGAAGATGAAGCTTGCATAGAAAAATAATATCTATGCTCTTAAATTTATATTTCGCCTCTGTAGGTAAAATACAAAACACAAAAAAAACACAATGGATCTTTAGTTTCAGGTCATAAAGAGACCACTAAGTTATGGAAATGGGGACAATGTAACCAAAAAAAACATTCTATTGTGACAAACTTGGCATTCCTAGAGCTAGTTGTATTTGCATATATTGTTGAGATGGGAGTATGTGGTTTAGCATTCAACAGTTTAGTATGAAGACATTCCTTACAATAGTTAGCAATGCTAGATGGAAAAGAAATTGTAGTTAGTTGCATGTCAGTCATACCTTGAAAACACGGACAAAGAAAAATGCAACAATTATGGAGAATGCCATGTGAATCATTGTCAACGTCATAGGAAACGGGAAATTGAAGTACATGGGAGACAACACCCACTGCAATAAGAAATAAATAATGTAAAAATGGAGAGAATGAATTGCATAAATGAAAAGCTCATTCCTAATCAAATTGAAACCGAAAAAAACATCATTGCTTTAGTTGTAACCTAAACCTAACTATCACAAGTAATGAATTAATAAAGCTTGATCAGATATGGAATTTTGTTGCATGATATTGTAAAGGGAGAAAAGAACAGCACAATATAGTACAATTTACACAGTATGAAAGCTGGGGTGTAAATAAGCCATAATTTCTTGAATTGTTGAGATTGCTCAACTATCGTTTGAGATAATCGGAAGTTCGGAACTCAAAATGAAAAACCAAGAAAAGACAATAACAATAACAATAAGGTGGAAAAGAAGAAACTAGTATGCAGAAAGTTCTATGGCCGAGGATAATATCCAGGGATCTCAGAATCGAAAAGAATTATCATACAAAAGCATGAGATAATCGAAAAGAATTTGAATCTAGACACTCTCCAAGTGTCCCAAAAAATGAAAACACAGAAGTATAGATTATCGAAGTAATTAATCAAAGTATGGAAAACCAAAGGCAACATAAGTTCGACAGACCTAGCAGCAACCTCGAGGTTAGTTGTCTCACGTACAACTAATGGAGCCAGTGTCATCAAATCTCCAACCACCTAGCCGTTCGTTTTGCTGAGTAACTTCTGTACCTCATTGAAAGTCTGCAAAGTTAGGGAACCAACAGTCAAAATTAAACCATAAACACATCTGAAGTCAATTGCAGTAAATTCAAATAGACACAAGGTATGCAACCTTCAAAGTTCACAATCGAGTTTATTTAAGTAATGCCAAAATGCAAAACCTCCAGTTTGCTCCACCACATTGCTATGTATCACTAAAAGCACAGAGCATTGACTAAGTTTCCACTTATCTTCTCCTGATTCAAAAAGGCACATTTTGTTTTTAAAAAATTATCATCGTTTGCCAAAAATAATTGTATCCTTTTCTCAAACTACCATCACAACATTAGAAAACAAATACATTAAGTAAGCAGACTCAAATATGCCCATTGTAGAAAGGGAAAATATTTGTGCTCGTCTTTAAGACTCAGAAAGTCCAGAAAATGAAAACTATAGAACTATGTGAAAGACGACGACTTCTGCAAAAGAAAGATGCATTTATGTCAAGAAGATAGAAAATTCTTGCTTACTTTCCAAGTGCTATCAACTTCAGGAAACAAGTCATTCTCAGTCCGCTGCCCTGATTAAAAGAACAATACATATGAATAATCTATCATCAAATGAACACACCCCAAATTCATGGAAATTTTCCATCAAGGAACACAAACTCTTTATCAAATTAAAGAAACTGGTTTATAGCAATCAATACCCATTCCGCTTTCTATTAGCCTAGAAAGGCTGCCATAGAAACAGATATGAAAGCCACAATAAAATTTGTCAGATAATTTACCAGATATGGAGTCCAATGCTAGCAAGTCATAATCAGAAGCAAGTCATAATCAGAAACAAGTCCAACCTGAAGCAGCAAAGAACATGATCCCATTATTCCATAAGTAAAAGCTAAAATTTACTAGGTCAAAAAAGATAAGGCAATTTCGCAAACCAAATAAACAAAACCGAAATAGTGAAATCGACTGCAGTGTAAATCATGGTGGAAAACTTTGCACAAAGAAGGCACCCAAATGCTGACACTTGAGACAAGGTCTTCAAGAATCGAGCTCGCACAGTTGCAACAATCAATTGAAATGGAATGTAGAAGCAAGAATAAATTTATATACAATGAAAGCGTGCCCAAACTCAGAAAGTCATCATGTGGCCCGAACAATATTTCCTTCACCCACCTCGCCTTAAAGTATAAAGAATGGAGAAAGGAACATAGACTTAATTGGCCACTATTTCACCAAGATATTTTCTTAAACTTAATGAGTCATGACTATCAATCAAAGTCCTTAAGAATAGCATTCTACCCTTCATAGAATAGGTCTAACATCTTATCCAATAACACTCACTTTAGGGACATTGGTCTCGTTGGACAATGCAAATGCTAAGATTCCACTTTTCTTGAAATGTCATGAAACCATGATAGAAAAACTTTAGAGGTTTGGGACCAAAAGTTAGAAAAAGAAAAGTAAACGAATAGTTATAAGTTACAACCTCGCAACAAAATTTAGGGGGAAAGATGACATACCAATTTCCAATCATCATCAATAACAAGAAAACCAGTGATTTTGTGTTCAACAAGAGCTTCCAATGCTATTGGTGTTGGCACAAGATCAATAAATTAGAGCCTTCTTTTATAAATACACACACAAAAAACATAGACAAAATATTATAAGATATAAGCTAAGCAAAAACAAGTACCTTCATCAACTGTGGAAGAATACTTGTGGAAGAAGTGGCGTGAACTGATAATTATCGAGGGGGAAGAAGCGAGAAATGATGAAAATAATGGGGGGAAAATTAAAAGACGACTTTTACAGATGACATACAATTAAAAGTGTACTCCGTGTTTTTTGCAAATTTTTTGGATTATGACTATTAAATATGACACACATTATTGTAAGCCATAAATCGTTCAGATTTTAAAAAAATATGACATTTTTTTATGACACATTTTTTGTAAATCATAAATTAGCGTGTGTCATTAAAGATATATTTTCTTGTAGTATTACCAACTACTTGAATCTATGGAGGCTTGAATAAGGAAAGAAGAAGAGAAAGGAAGAAAAGAAAAAAATGAGAGAACTCACGTCCAACCCATAAATAAAACCTAAGGTATCATCCTCTTTTTCTTTAATGGTCTAATGATGCTCTTAGTCCTTCCTCTTTTGACTTATATGCAAAAATTCCCTTTTTATGGCTAATTGGGTCTAATTCCAACCCAATTAAGCCCAACTTGGTCAAACAACTTTAATTACGAACTCCACGAGGCTTAAAAATCTTTCGAGTAAACTTGAATCGAATAACGACCTATCCTTAGGTCACACCCTTAGAAACCTCGGAGCACCTTAAATCTTATCAAGTTTAATTCTCAAGGAAGAGGTTCCCGTAACTTGACATGCAACTCGGAACTCGTAAAATTGATATGCAATTTTCTAAGGACACTACTTGTGTCGAACCTTAAAAACCTTCGGGAGGCCCAAAATTTGAGAATCTCACTGTTGTTATCTAACACTGGATGCTCAAAATGTCTCACAAGAAAAATGTTACTCCGCGATTCAACTACTATCATTAACCCCTTTCACTAGCTAACTCTACTAAGTTGAGTTAACATACAACATGATTCTATAAATCTCTGCTATTAATTGAACTTAGATAACTCGTCATATAATACGTCGAGATATGGCCACTCATAATACACAGTCTCGATATCGAGTAATGAAGATTTGATAACAAATCTCGACTTTCAAAACGTCGATTTATATGTTTCTGCTACGTAACTCTAATTCAGTATCCATCTTTTCCATCTTTACTACCTGAATGTTTCTTGTTTTCCTTAAAATTCACATAGGTACTACTTGTCAGCTCGAGCATCTAAGTTAACCACAACTGAGAATAGATCACCACAAACGATGGTCGGAGGGAGAGATCATGGCCGATTTATGGTTGATGTGGGGTTAAGGTTAGAGCCTTCTTGTTTTGTATAAGAGGGTCATTAAAAGGAGGATAAAAGTCGGTTTATAGTGATCGACGTCGATTTACGGTGGTCGAAGCTGTGGAGAGGCATCGATGAGTAGCGGGGATGGCGAGCCTTTAAGGTTCTCGGTGAAAAGAGGCAAATAGATAGCTTTCAATTTTTTAGGGTTGGATGTTACAAACGAGCAAACAAAAAATGATTAAATGATAAAAATTTAGGGGTTATTTCATGTTAGGTCCCCCAACTTTCATTGTGAATTTCTATTTTGGTCACTTGTGTGTGCTATTTTATTTAAATTTAAAATGTTTGTCTTCATTATGTTATTTTTCGTACTTTGCTCATTAGTTGGTTACAATTTAGAAAAATGGAAGAATCTCATATTAGTCCTTATATTTTAGCACTTTTTTTATGTTTTGATCCCCTGATTTACTCATTTTTTTAATTTTTGAATTTGGATGACCTATTTTACTTTATTTTAATTTAGTCACCATTTGTGTTTATGTTTTTTTTTTCAAATTAATCATTGCATTTCATTTTATTGCATTATGGTACCTAGATTGAATTTTTTAAATTCCTGATGTTGTTATTTAGTTTCTTGCATATTACGTTTTAGTCCTAATTGCTTTTCATTTTATCTTATGTTGCTTTTCACATTTTATTCTTAATTTTATATGTTTACATTGTAGTCTTGAATACCGATCTTGGATTATTTGCGTTGCTAGTGTATATATTTCATTCTATTTACACTTGTTCTTTTACATGTTTGCTGTTTGGTCATTGAAGTTACTAATTGTTTGCGTTCTGATCATTAGGCTAAGTTTTCTAGTATGAATATATGTATGATTATACTAGGCCCATATAGTAACTTGTATATTTACTTTGTATTTTACATTATATATATATATATATATATTGAACTATGTTTTGATATAACAATTTATGGCAAAATGTTTTTGTACTTGAATTCAATTTATTCAAAGTTTTCAAAGTTTATAAAAATAATTCAAAGTCCATTTAATTTTGAATTGAGCACAAAAATGTTTTTATGAATAGTATTGTACTGTATGAATAGTACCGATACTATGTGAACAGTGATGAACAGTACCGATGCTCAAAAATTCCAAAAAGCAAAATGGGTATCAATACCTATACAATAGTATCGATACTGCTACAGTAAAATCAAACCCAACGGTCAAAAATTTCAAATATTACAAAGGTAGTGCCGATACCTATTGAAGGGATACCGATACTACTTGTTCTGGACAATTTTATTTTGTAGAAAATGAATCCCCAACGGCTCCAAAACATCCCCAACGGCTATATACGACTTCAAACTCATTTCAAGCTATAAAAACAAGTTGAGGACACTTGAAGAAGATAGAGAACAACTATCTAAGAAATCAAACACAAGAGAAAATTTTTTCATTCTTATTTCATCTCTCTCTTGTAAATATTTATGTTCTTGTTAGTTTAATTCTTGTAAACACCTACCTTAGAGAGGTTTTCTTGTTTACATTTCCTTTCATTTTAAAGGTGTTTTGGTTCTAGCTAAGCCTGCTAAAAGCTAAGGAAAATGTTATAGTTTAGCCTGTGAAAAACTAGGGAGTTTGTAAAAGTTATCTCTTTATCATGTAAAAAGAAAGAACAAATTAGTGAATTTGTTGGAAAATCCTTGGTGAGGAGCTAAAGTAGTGGACGTAGACTTTGTTGAGAAGTCGAACCACTATAAATTGTTGTGCAATTTTATATCTTTAAATCTTTTTACTCCCTAAACACAAAACCTGACCCGACCCCTCTTAACGAACCATTTCGGTTATCGTTTGAGCTTCCGCAAATCCCAACAATATATGTACTCTTTTTTATTATATAACATAGCATATGTGTGTTTATGTTTCGAATTTCAAAATGGTTATAATTGCTTTAATTTTCAATGATGACACGTATAATTATGTAGAAGGTTTTGTGTGTATATATATATATATGCGCACGCGCACACTTTTTTTAAACAATTTTAAGTAGAGAAAATAACCTCAGTGACCAAAAATCCCATATAATATACGATTTTAACCAACTTTTTCCGGATTTGCCAAAATGACCAACAAAATCGCAATGCGATCGCTAATTCGCAACGCGATCTCCATTATCGCAAATCAGTTTCCAGATTCGCAACGCGATTATGACTATCGCAATGCGATTTTCCAATTTCGCGTTGCGATTTTCCCAATTCGCAATACGAATAAGTAAATCGCAATGCGAATTTGGAAAATCGCAATGCGATACTGACTATCGCAATGCGAATTTGGAAATTTGCATTGCGATTTACGTATTCGCGTTGCGATTTTCATAATTTGCAATGCGAATACGTAAATCGTAACGCGATTAAGTAAATTGCAATGCGAATTAGGAAAATCGCAATGCGAATACGTAAATCGCAATGCGAATCTTACTATCGCAATGCGATTTACATAGCGCCATTCGTATTAACGCGTATTTTTTTTCAAATTCCAAACACGAATTTTTTCTTAATAAATCGGAAACTGAACCGTCCACAGTAATCGCAACTCATAACCTTAAACCTAAAATCACAACACTCAGTCCCATCTCTATCTCTCACTCTCTACGGTGAAATCCGTCCCCATCTCCAAAGATTTTCGTCCCCATCGCCGGCGAAATCCCTCACAACCATTCACAGTCAAAAATCCCTCACAATCATTCAGAAATGGAAAATCAACCTCCGAGGGTTAGTTTTTTTATTATTTTTATTTTGAAATTTTTGCATTATTTTAGGTTTTTCATATTGAGATTGATGATAAGTTTACTGGTAATTTCAATAATAGATTAAACATTTCACTTAGATTTCTTATTAAATTCATTTGATTGCTGCCAATACTGCTAAACTGTTTAGCCTGTGAAGTTAGTATTTGTCTTTGTTTTGTCTTTTGGTTGAAGTAATGCAGAAGAAGAATAGTTTCGAGAATGAAAATCGCAACGCGGAAATAACTATCGCAACGAGAAATAAAATTCGTAACGCAAAACCAAAATCGCATTGCGATTTTCATTTCGCGTTGCGATTCTATCGTTGCGATTTTCATTTCGCGTTGCAATTTTCATTTCGCGTTGCGATAGTCATTTCGCGTTGCGATTCTCTCGTTGAGATAGGCATTTCCGCGTTGCGATTCTCATTATCTCGTTGCGATTTTCATTTCAACCAAAAGACAAAACAGTGTTGCAAATTTTAGTTTCAAGAATAAACTACTATTTATGTTTATTGTTTTTGGTATATCTTCACAGTGTAGTTTTTGGTATATCTAACTTGGTATGTTTATTGTTTTTGTAGAAATTTTTTTCGGCTTCATTGACATTAAGGAATAAAGTTAGCCTAGCCACTACAATTGCTTCGAAGCTTTCACCTGCACAAAAAAAATTGTTTGAGGAAACCTGCTTCGGGCCATGGCTGAGAGTACAGCATCCAGGTGGAGATGCTGATTTGACCCATTTGTGGCTTCAGACCATGACTAGCTATCTACCCGACAGTATACAACGTGGTGAGGAAGAGATATGGTTTCATTTTCCACCGGCGTATA